AACATCCCTTTTGCCTCATGGAATAAATATGAAATGCTCTGTTTGGCTTTTAAAGTCCTTCATGGTCTAGTTCCCTCCTACCTTTCCACTGTCCTTAAACTGTACTGCCCAACACTTGCTCTTTGGCTATTCCTCAAACAAGACAACAAATATTCCCCCTCTCAGCTCTGGGCTTTTCCCCTGGCTGTCCCCGATGGCTGGAAAACCCTTTTTCCTCTGCTCTGACTACTACCTTCCCTGGCTTCCTTTAAGTCTCATCTAAAATCCTGCATTCTATAGGAAACTTTCTCTAACCTCTCTTAATTCATTGTTTTCCATCTTTTAATCATTTCCTGTTTATTCTTTCCATAGCCTGCTTTCTTTGTGTTTGTTTGCATGTTATCTCTCCCTAGGGAAGTCCCCCTTGAGGGCAGAGACTGTCCTAGGCCTCTTTTTTGTGACTGAGGCAATTAGCAGTGTTTGGCACTTAGTAAGAACTTAATACTTATTGAATTGAATTGAATCTATATGGGGAACTCCTGGTGAAAAAACTCCCTCTGCAAATGGAACGCCTTATTGTGCAATTCATAGCCTTAGAGAATTGCCTGGGGCACTGAGAGGTTAAAAACCTTTCCAGGATCACACAGCCTTTATGTGTCAGAGGCAAGGCTTCAGCCTGGACTTCCAGACTCTAATGCCAGCTTTCTGTTGACTATCTCAAGCTTACCTCCCATATGCATGGTATGTGATTAATACTGTTGAACTTGTGTCATATTGAATTGTTTTCACAAGTACATACTCAAAAGTTAAAAAAAAATGAGAGAAAATAAAATTAGATCTTATTTGCATATCAGATCCCTCAGTTCAAGATGTCTGTTAACTAAATGCTGAATTTCATTTAAGGATAAACCAGGTAGTGAAAGATACTGAATTCAAACTACTGGAAAGCATTGGATTAAAGAGAGCTGCTTCCTGAATATATGAAAGGTAAGAGGGTGGGAAGGAAGAGGATAATGACAAAGTAAACCATCTTAACAGCTTAGCCCGAGAACATCTTTGGTTCTGACTGGTGTCAGTTGTTTCTTTCATTTTTTTTTGTTTTGTTTTGGGGTGGGCGTGTGGGCGTGTGTGTGTGTGTGTGTGTGTGCTGGAAACACTGAGCTCTTTTGAAAGTCTGGATTTTTAAAAATCACAACAACGATAGAGGTGCTCAGATATCTGGAAATTGGGACTCAGCATGATCCAATGGAAATAATGCTGGCTCTGGAGATAGAAAATGTGGATTCAAGCCCTGCCTCTTAATTCCAGTGTGACCTAAGGCAAGTCACTTCCTTTTTTCTCATCCTCAGTTTCCTCATCTGCAAAATGAGACAATTAGATTAGATGACCTCTGAGGTTCTCATGAACCTATATTGTTTTTGTTTTTTAAGCAATTGAGGTTAAATGACTTGCCCAGGGTCACACAGCGAGTAAGTGTCAAGTATTTGGTCTGAGGCCAAATTTGAACTCAGGTCCTCCTGACTTCAGGGCTCATGCTCTATCCACTGCGCCACCTAGCTGCCTCCATAAACCTATATTGTAAAGAGAAAGTCCAATTTGTTACAGAATCAATCAGTTAACAAGCTTTTAAGTGCTTACTAAGTGCCCCGCACATCGCAAAGCACTGGGGAGAGAAGTAAAGGCAAAAATCATTATGCCCTTCAAGGAGTGTACATTCAAATGCGAGAAATAACTCAGAACCAACAATACAGAATAAATAGAAGGTAATCTGGCTGAGGAGGCAGCTGGCGCAAGGGCAGAGAGAATTGCCTCCAGAAGAAGGTGATGATGCAGAAAGTGAAATGTTATGCCCACTGCCTGGGTTTTCTTTTTATCACTAGCTACTTAAATAAGCAAGTCCTGCTCTAAAGTTAAATATCTGACTATACTAATGATAATACATTCAAATGCCACTGATATTATTTTTGACGGAAGGAAGAGGATTTTATAGGCTAAAGATATTTCTCTGATGATTACTGCTGCTATCTTATAATCTTCCCTTTCATTAATCATTCATATGAATTGGTTCACTTAGCAGCAAGGTTGAAAGCTTTTGAAAATATTGTTTAAAGGTGTGTTTGGGATGAACTGTGCTATTTGGCTTGCCCTTCACAAAAATCAAGAAGCTCATTATTAAGTCCATCTGAGAAAGGTGAAGAGATTTTTTTTTTTTTGGCAGTTGGGGTTAAATGACTTGCTCAGGATCACACAGCTAGTAAGTGTCAAGTGTTTGGTCTGAGGCCGGATTTGAACTCAGGTACTCCTACTTCAGGGCTGGTGCTCTATCCACTATGCCACCTAGCTGCCCCAGTGAAGAGAATTTCTTAACTTAGAACAGAGAACTCTAGTGATCCAGGAAAAAAATAAGTTACAGCCAATAGCTAACAATATCAAAGAAATTCAAATAGTGGCCTTCTCTAGCTCTGTCTTGGGCTTTTGTTTTATACTCTGTTGTTTGCAATGCCCTTTTCAGAGAATGAAAATAATTGTAAGTTTCCTCACTAATGTGTTCACATATATAAAACCTCATATGGCTTTTTCCCCCAAGTCAGATTATAAAAATAACAATGCTAAGGGAAGTTTGGAGGAGTATATTACTTATTCTCTTTCTACTTCATTGGAGCTAGGAAATACAAGCCTGCTCTTGCAACTTCTTCTGGATAAGACTTGGGTCCCTATTCCCCTTGGGCTTATCTAAATTCACACTCCTGGGTGCTTCTCTTATGCTAATGCTGATGTTTTCTAATGAAAGAGAGCTACTTAATGAAAGTTCTGATCTATGTTAACAAAGGATCCAATATGTTGAGTATAGTATAGGTCGCCTGCCTTGTTCCAAATGCATTGCCTCCAATCAACTTGGTTTCCCCCCCCCCTTTTTTTTTGTGAGTTTTCCAAACTGCTCAAAAAAAAGTTAATGATAAAAAGCCATGTGGGATGGGGTGCCCTAGGAAAAGAGGTTGAAGGGATTAGGGGTAGTTTAGCATAAAAAAAGTTATGGGGGTGAAAATAACTGTTTTGATTATACTCCAAATCAACCTGAAATCTTGTTGATGTAGATTATGTCTAATGACAAAGATCACAAACTGTTCATCTTATTTCATTGAGAGTTATTTTCACCTATGCCCTATATCAAATCTTCCCCATGAGGTCCACCCAATGTGATGGAGACCTTACTCAAGTCCTCTTGGCATTGTGTGGCTAGAAGCACTGTATGTTGAATGTCCGTTTATTAACATTAACTCTGTGTACCCTGCGTGTCACATTTTCCAGTCCTGCACACCTCAGGTGGCATCCTTTAGACGTATATTAACTCACTGACGACAGTTTTTCCTGTATGACTTCATTTGTGATGTGATGAATAACCTTTTCATACCCACAATACACTCCTCCATTGATTTATTGGTGATCTTCATATTCAGTTCTTAGGCTTATATCTTTAACTTTGGAGGAGACCTCTGTAGTCATCTGGTATAATCCCATCATATTACACATAAAGAAACTGAGGCCCAGGAAAGTTGTGACTTTACCCAAATTTTCACAGGTATTAAGCAGCAAACCCTGAATATCAAAGCAGGTCCCTTGATGCTATATCTACTTATTATTTTTTTGCACTACAAATATACTAAAAATTCATCTTAGATGGTGAGTAACTGTTTGCTGATATTACAAAATCTCAATGAAAAGAGATTTAAAGCAGGAATGATATTGGTTGAAAGTAAGTAAGAACTTTTTTGATTGCTGGGGAGATAAAACACTGGAATACTTTCATGTATCCCAGAAGGAAATTGTGACATTCCATCGCTAGATATCTTCTATTATTAGGACATTTTTTTCTATCAAAAGGACCTGATAAATTAAACAAAAATTTAAAAACCATTTATTAAGTGCTTATTGTATACAAAGCACTGTGTTAATTCAGTGGATTCAAACAGAAAAGTAAGGTAGTCCTTGGTCCCAAGGAAGCCTTTTAATGATGGTTCCACTTTGGTAAAAATGCAGAATTAGACTCTCTATGGAATGTCATAAATACTAAAGAGAACTAAGAATATTATGAAAACATATTACTCTTGGAAAGTTTAACATCAAGTTTAGTCTAAAAACAACAAAAAACCAATGCTTCATTGTTGTTTTCTCTTGTGAACAATTGCCAGTGTTTTTATTCCTAGTTTCTTTGAGCTAAAGGAGGAAAAGGAAAAAATGAACTCTTTTCTACATTAGCTCCTCTATTGCTAGGCCAGAATTCTTAACCTAGAGTCCATGAACTTGGGTTTTTTTTTTACATTATTTTGATAACTGCATTTTGATATAATTGGCTTCTTTTGCAATCCTATTATTTTATGCTTTTTAAAACATTTTGAGAAGGCAGTTAGGTGGCACAGTAGGTGGAAAGTCAGAAAATCTTGAAATCAAATATGGCCTTAGACATTTAGCTGTGTGACCCTGAGTAAGTCACTTGACCTCTGCCTCAGTTTTCATGTCTGTAAAATGGCAATAATAATAATAATAATACCTACCTCCCAGAGTTATTGTGAGGATCAAATGCTACAATATTTGTAAAATGCTTAGCATAGTGCCTGGCACATAGTAGGAGCTATATAAATGTTACCTATCATTAATGTTATTATTTATCATCATCATCATCATCATCATCATTATAATCATCATTATAGACATGTTCCATAGGCTTTACCAAATGACCAGAGGAGTCGTGATGTACCAAAAAATGTTAACCCTTGCACTAGACTAAGGGCATCTGTTGTCACCAAATAGTTTTCTTCCTCAGTCATAGAAAAAATATCCATATCAAAATTTAAATATATATGATATATGCTATATATTATATACCTTATATAGTAATATATGGTATATATAAATATATAATGCATATTAATATATTATATATTATATGTAATATATATCAAATATCTCATTTAAAGAAAATAGGAGAAAGAGAGCATATAAATTTATTTTAACCCTGATACCTCATTTCTTTTAAGCCCAGCCAGGTTTTCCATGTTCATGCTGTGCTAGTTAATCTTCAGTATACAGGAGTTATAGGTTCATGATGTCATAGAAGGAGCACCAGCTCCTATGTCACAAGACCTGAGTTCTAGCCTCAGCTTTTTCATCACCTAGTTGTGGCTTTGAGCAAATTGCTTAACTTCTCTAGGACTAAGTGTCTCCCTTTCCAAAAATGAATTGGAATGGATGGGTACCATAAATCTAAGAAACTTTGGGTTAAAATCCTTTCTAGGCTAAGGATGGGACTATATAAAAATCATGGCATAGATATTGTATTTTTTTTGATGATTTATTGTTATCTTGGATGCCTATAAAAGTTTGATGCTCATTTGAAGTTCATTACTCCCTCATTATACATTAATGTAGATGGATTTCAGATTAAGGTGTCAGGTGGCTGGCTTAGCCTTTCCTTATGAAGATGAACAGACTTGATTCAGTAGCCTCTCATTTGGTGGCTCTGGAAATCACTGTTACATTGACTTAAGGTTGAAACATCATCCTTTTTAAAGATTGGATATTGACATTTAACAGATGACGATAATCCATATCCTCTTTCAGCATTTGGTGACAGAGAAATGCATCACATAGCTGTGTTTCTTTCGCACACAAAACCCTCTGGGAGCCAGGCTCAAGAGTAGAAATTAGGAGAGTCATAAAGTGGATTTGAATTGGCACAGTCAGATGTAAATATTAAAACATTATGTTAACTTAGCATTATGCTTAATGCCTCTGAAGTGTAGGCAATCAGTGCATGTCTTTGACATATTACCCATCTGGAACCCAGCCATACAACTTTAAGCACTGACAATTTGTACTCAACAGTGTACCTCACTGAAATGTTGAAAAAACATTTACTTTGTATGGATGCTGGCTTGCTTTTTAGGTGATGCAGACAATATATGGTGAGAACTGAACGCAGTGAGACCAACAACTAGCACCTAATATGAGAGAAGAGGGAGGGAAGAGTTGAAAAAGTGTTATCTTAAATTTGTGAGAAGTGTGAGATGGTGAAACTGAGCAATGAACAGCTAAACCAACACAGATTTCACTGAAAAACCTAGATGATATTTTTGTCATGTGCTTTAACTTCTTAAATATTAAATATGGCTAGAAAGAATAGAAAAGTACCTTAAATATGAGTGTATTATGTTGGACTTTGTTATTTCTATACACTGACATACCAGAGGGTCTACTGGAATTCTTAGACTCTTTCCATCAATGGATAGGCCAGTAATATCTTAACCAGTTATTATAGATAATAAGCCACTAGCTTTCTTGGACATAATAATAAAATATGAGATCTGGGAAGGGTCTTGAATGTCATGGGGAAACTGAGGCTCAGAATTGTGAAATTACCCAATTTCTCACAGTTAATTGGTAGGACAGAGAGAAGTAGAACACTTGTTTGACTTTAAGGCCAGTACCTTATACCTTCCACTTGATAAGATGAAATCTTCAATTTATCTTTGGTCTTTGACAGTATCATTTCTTTTACTTCAGGACACTTCTCTAAAAATATGAAGTCTTGTGTTTCTTTGCCTTTATCATCATTCCTTATAGTATAGTAATTTAACATGATATTTCTATACCACAATTTGTTTTGCAGTTCTCTAATCATTGTTGGTTATTTACAGTGTTTTGATATAAGTAGTCCTATTATGAATATTTTTGTACAAATAGGTCTTTTTATTGCTCTCTGTAACCACCTTGGGGAATAAACTTTGTAGTGGGATTTCTAAATCAAAAGGTATAAATTACTTCTCTTTTATAATACCAATTTTTTTTTACAAAACAGTAATGCCAATTTGTAGCTCTACCAGCAGTTAATAAATGTGTCATTTTTTCCTCACAGCCATGTCAGCATTGAATATTTCTATCTTTTTTTTATTAGTCCAAGGTGTACGAGGAGATACCTAAACATTGTTTTAATTTGTATCTTTCTGCTTATTAGAAATTTAGATGACTTTTAAGATGATAATTGATGGCCAGTTTTTTTTCTTTTGAAAATTGTTTATATCTTTTGAGTATTATCTACTGGAGAATGGCTCAGTTATGTAGATTCTCAAAAATCTATTGATGCCAAAACTTCTTTTTTTTTAAAATTTTATTAATTTATTTTGATTCATCAATAATCACTTCAATATGCTTTTGAGTTTAAAATTTTTCTCCCTCTTCCTCCCCACTACCCTCCCCAGAACGGTGCACAATCTGATATGGGCTATACATTTACATTCCTATCAAACATATTTTCACATTAGTGGTGTTGTAAGTAAAAATTAAAACCAATAGAAGGAACCATCAGAAAGAGGAAACAAAACTCAACAGAAGAGAAACAAAATAGCAATTCAACTTTCATAGTTCTTTCTTTGGATATGGATAGCATTTTCCATCACGAGGCCTCTAGAGATGTCTTAGATCCTTGTATTGCTGGGAAGGGTTAAGTTTATCAATGTTAGTCATCGCACAACATGGCTGTTATTGTGTACAGCGTTCTCTTAGTTCTGCTCATTTCACTCAGGATCAGACCACACAAGTCTTTCCAGGTTTTTCTGAAGTCAGCCTGTTCATCATTTCTTATAGTATTCCATTACATTCATATACTACAACTTGCTCAGCCGTTCCCCAATTGATGGGCATCCTCTCAGTTTCCAATTCTTTGCCACTACAAAAAGAGCTGTTAAGAATATTTTTGTACGTGTGGGTCCTTTTCCCATTTGTTTGATCTCTTTGGGATATAGCCCTGGAAGTGCTATTGCTGGGTCAAAGCATATGCACATTTTTATAACCCTTTGGGCATAGTTCCAAATTGTTCTCCAAAATGGTTGAATCATTTCACAACTCCACCAACAATGCATTAGTGTTCCAATTATCCCACATCTTCTCCAACATTTATCATTTTCCTGTTTTGTCATGTTGGCCAATCTGATAGGTGTGATGTGGTACCTCAGAGTTGGTTTGATTTGCATTTCTCTAATCAATAATGATTTGGAGCATTTTTTTTTCATATGACTGTAGTTGGCTTTAATTTCTTCATCTGAGAACTGCCTGTTCATATCCTTTGATCATTTATCAATTGGGGAATGGCTTGTATTCTTATAAATTTGACTTAATTATATATTTTAGAAATGAGGCCCTTATCAGAGAGACTGGTTGTAAAAATTCTTTCCCAGTTTTCTTTACTTTCCTGATGCCAAAATTTCATTAGAGATTTTTAATACAAATATTTTCCTATTTGAATTGTTTCTTCTTATCTGTGAATTTATTTTATTTTTGCAAAAACTGTATTTTATATAGTCAAAATAGTAAAATAATATTTTTTCCATTATTTTGTTACAATAACTTTTTAAAATTTCCTGTGTATAGAATAGCAAAAGAAAAAGTTTCTTTTAAGATTATGGTGAATTTCTTCATTCTCTTCATTCATTTCTTCTACTTTTACCTTTCCCCTACTCTCCTTGGACACTATTTATATTTATCAAGATGAATTAGATGGAAGTATTACTGTTTGTATCATAATAGACCTCTAATGAAGCATGAATAGGTTTTGTACCATTTTGAATGTGTAAAAAGGCATTGGAAATGCAAATCTTTATGTATTTGACTACGGATATTTTCAAGTGCATTTTAGCCTTGTCCCTTAGATCTATTTACAATTGAAATATTGATGTATTCATCTTCTTTGTTCTTTAAAAAAACCTTTATGTCTTAGAAGTAGAGGACTTCCTTAGAGGTGAAGAAACCTAAGAAATATGAAACTTAAGTACTAAGAAGTAAGATTTCATAAACTTAAAAGTGGTGCCTAAACTTGATTATAAGTTATGTGTAAGTGTACACAATTAAGAATTATGTAATTATTGTGCATAATATATATTAATTAGACACAGTATATTATAATTAATCATTATAAATAGTATATGTTAATCTCAACTATTAGAGCTTCACTTAATTTTTCTTTGATTTTTATTAATTAAATATAGGTTTAGGAGATTTTCATTTTATTTATCATATTAGGTAAGCAATCTATCTTTCACATCCTTGCTTAACTTAAGGATAAATTCCTAATGTCACCCAAATAGGATCCAAATATCCTATTAATTACACAATGATAGATTTAGAGATTTAAGGGACACTAGAGGCCATCCAGTGCATATTAACACATAAAAAGGAAGAAATACATTTTGATAAATGTAGCTCTGGGATCTTTTAAGCTAAATGTTTTTTATTCATTCAAGATACTCTTAACAGAAACATCATAATCATGTAAAATCAACACAGTGGAGGTATGAGAGTTGCTTCATGGAACTGGAGGGAGAAAGTGTAAAGTCTTTGTCCCTCAACTGATTCACTTATCAGTGTTGTTGAGTGTCTTCTATATACACAGCCTTGTGCTAAGCACTTTGGTATTAAGGGGTAGATTGGTGTGGGTGTCAGACGATGAAAGTAAAAGACATAGTACCTATTCTTTTTAAGTTGAAAAAGTTATTGATCAATTTTGTTTATATGCCACATTTCCCCTTAATATCTTTCCACAATTGAATTCTCTTGCAAAAAAAAAAGCCATTTACACAAAACTATCACATTGACTATTTCTCATAGTTTTGATAATATTGAACATCTGCAGTTTCCCTCACTCTTTTACTGAAAAGACAGAGGTGTGTTACATAGTCACTCCTCTGGAATCCAATTTTAACATTACAATTAATTAGGATTCCACTACCTTTTGGTGGTTTTATTTACATTATTGTCATCATGTTTTTTGTTCTCCTGGTTCTTCTATGCCTTATATCAGTTAATATGAGTCTTCCCATGTTTTTCAGAATTCCTCATAGTTTGCATGCCTCATACCAAATAATTTTATATTATATTTATATACCACAGTTTGTTCATTCATTCCCCATTTGATAACTAGCTACTTTCTTTTAATTTTTTCTCTACAAATAGTTCTACTATGAATATTTTGGTATGTATACTTTGTCCTTTGTGACCTTTTTGGGGGATATAAGATAAGTGGTGAAATTGCTAGGT